TAATAGATTTTACACAAAAAGCTAAATACAAGCCAACCTGAATTCAACCTGAATTCATACCATGGTAATTGGTAAAAACATATTTAAAAAGCATTTGCAATTAAAAAGTTGAATAATTAGATATGAATACAGTGAGCAACACAATCCATTGGGATCATGGCAAAGTAATAGATTTTACACAAAAAGCTAAATACACCCCCAGATGGACAACATATCTCATTATTTTTAAAAGGTCAGTTTGCTGGTCAGTGTTCTGGTCATCTGATCCTCAGGAAGGGGGGAACTCCTCTCTAAAGGCCTGAGGTGGAGAGGTTTTGGTGGCCTTTTATATCACCCAAAGGTTGAGACATTGTGGAAAACGAATGCTCACCAAAGTATTTTAATCATAGTTGAAGACAGGACATATAAGAAAAAGCTTGGACAGCCGTTTCCCTCCTCTAAAAGCTGTTGGACCTTTGTTAGAGGAATTCTGCTCCATCCTTGTTTGTTGAATGGTCTCAGATGGTGAAGCATCCGGACCATTTTAGGACCTCTAGATCAGTGTTTTTCAACCTTTTTTGAGCCAAGGTACAGTTTTTCATTGAAAAAATCACGAGGCACACCACCAACCAAAAATGTTAAACAAATCTGTAGCCGCCTATAGTAACACTATAGTTATTCTTATTTTATTCTTATCTTATCTTAAGTGTCATGAATAGGAATCAAATAAACACAAACATTTATTTTTATCTTATTTTATATTTCTTCTTTCAAATTGCACTTAACATGTCCACTTCAATATACAAAATTACATATAAAATCTAGTCATAAGGAATTATTACATGATTACGCCACCAGTCACTAGAACAGCACAGACACTCAAAAATGGAATATTATTTGCAGAAAATTAATTCCTTATCAAAAAATCTTTTTAGACCAATTAGGTGAAATAGGATGATTTTTTACGGCACACCTGACCATAACTCGCGGCACACTAATGGTTGAAAAACACTGCTCTAGAGGAAGACGTTGCTCTAAAAGCTGTAATCTAATGCCCACACCATCAGAGATACTGAGCTTATTATTCCATCTGGGAGCCTAACAGTTTCCGGTTATCTGGCTTGAAACTAGCTTTTGTCTGAGAGAAAGCTTCTGGCTCCTCTGAGTTTCCTCTCTTTCCTTCCAGGTGACGGACATGATGGTGGCCAACAGCCACAACCTCATCGTCACCGTGAAGCCGTCCAACCAGCGGAACAACGTCATGCACCGCAGCAGCAAAAGCTCGATGGGCCACTCGGGCTCCGTGGGCTCGGCCGGATCCGCCGGCTCCGCCCTGTCCCACGACTCGCCGAGCCCGGCCTCCCAGAGCAACCCGCTCACCGCCAGGTACGGGGGGGAGCGCCTGTCCGCACACGCCATTTCATAAAGTGTTTTTATTTTTTTATTTTTTTATTTTATTTATTTTATTTTTTTTATTTGTTTTATTTATTTCATTTATTTTATTTATTTGTTTGATTTATTTTGTTTATTTTATTTATTTTATTTATTTATTTTGTTTATTTTAATTATTTATGTTATATTAATTCGTATAGCACATTTCATGTACAATACAATTCAAAAGTGCTTTACAAAGAAATTAAAAGCATTAAAACAAAAGAAAGAAAATACAGTAAAAACAAAATATGTTAGATATGAAAAAATATATCAAATACATTCAGTTATATCAACATGCAGATAAATAGAAGTGGAGTAAAAGTAAAAGTATTAAATTAATCAAAAATATGTAGTAGAGTAAAAATAAAAGTATTGAATTAATCAAAAATATGTTGTAGAGTAAAAGTATTAAATTAATCAAAAATATATAGTGGAATAAAAGTAAAAGTATTAAATTAATTTAAAAAATGTAGTGGAATAAAAGTAAAAGTATAAAATTAATCAAAAATATGTAGTGGAGTAAAAGTAAAAGTATTAAATTAATCAAAAATATGTACTAACGTAAAACTATTAAATTAATCAAAAATATGTAGTAAAGTAAAAGTATTAAATTAATCAAAAATATGT